AAGGAGACCATAATATGACCATATCATAAATATAAATTTTGTACCAGCTTTTGTCAAATGGCATCAGCTGAGGACCGGCTAGCGTGGCTTCGATGGTGGTGTTTGCCGGCGGCGTCGACCGCTTCCAAATGTAACCGATCATAAGCTTTGAGGCGTTCAGCTTCAAGGGGATTAATCACACACATCGGAAAGGAGAAACTTTGTATCGAATTTGGTCATAGCAATAGGAATACGTCATATGTTTCCTCCTAAAGTTGTCCATTTTAATTCTTTGCGATGGGGTAACACCAGTAGGGATTGAGTCTTGGTATATCGCACCTTGATGATGTTTGTCAATGGGGTCGACTGTACAGCCATGGAGGATGAAGTTGGAGAACTCCGTGACATAAGGGGCGTATTTGTAATTCACTCTATATTTGCCACCATTGGTAGCCCAATCAGACCCATCCCAATTGTTGCATACAAAGACATTGGCTTAGAAGGAAAATCCCCTCCCATTGATTCTGTTCTCTTAACTTCTCTAATGGGAATATTGTCTACATAAAATCTGCCACAGAAAAGCAATACACACATAAGAAATAAATAACACATAAATCATCAAAGCACAAAAAGAATTAAATCCAAAACATCCAACATTGGCTGATTTTTAGATATCATTCTCAGGTTCAGACTTTCGCATTCATGCCACAAAATACAGCAGTGACCACTATTATCAGCTAACACTGAATTGATGTTTGTTAATTCACAAAATGATATACCATAGTGAAGCAAAGAGGATCTCAGTGAAGCAAAATGAAAGTGAAAGGTCACTGTTAAAATAAACTCTTGACCATGAAAACTCTAGAACTCAATCTAATATCTAATCCTACCCATAGCTATTGCTTAGAAAGCAAACAGAGGATTGTTAAAATTAGTTAAGTTTAAGGAAAAGTGGTATTGATAAAACAGGGGATGCAATATTGGAAAAAAACAGAGCACATGCTGTAGAAACCACAAACTTTCCTGAAAAGAGAAACTCCAGCTACAAAACAACATACAAGAGCATCATGTCATGTCTCAAAATCATTAAATTCCATACCGTTTAAGGATGGAAATTATGACTGAAATTTGTTAAAAAAACAAAAAAGAATGGTGGTGAGATGCTTACATGATCTGAGAATCGGTCCAGAGAATACTATAATGATGGAAATCATCGGAAGGATCAAACCAAAGATTGTATCTTTCTTCTCTGCCTACACTGGTGCTTCCATTGCCATAAATATTTGTTTGAATTCTCCAATCTTTGCCTCTTATGTTACCCAAGAACTCAAAGTCTATCTCATCATGTCTTCTCAAATATGTCGCCATTTGACATCTGCAACCAAATTTAAACTTTGTCAAGAAAAGCAAAAAATTTGCATGATATCCCATCTGGGTATTGTCAAAACCTTGTTGAGAAACGTAAACTTTTTTAAGTAAGAGAGTTGCAGAACCAGAGGATTGAGAAGAGAAAATAAATTATTTTAGAAATTAAAAAAAAATTAGGAATATAGAGAAAGAACTCACATAGAAAGCAACAACTTCCAGCAGTATAACTGATGGCAATTTAATTGAAGTACTGAAGAACCCATGAAGATAAAGATCCGTGACACAAACCAGAACCTGTAAAAAAAAAAACAAAAACTTGTAAAAACTAAAAACCACAACAAAGAAAAGAAAAAGAAAAAGAAGCACAGGAAAAAAAAAAAAAAACCTGTGGATTCATCTAAAGTTAAATGAACAGATTTTCCATCTTTATGAACAACAAGATATCATTTCCGAACAAATGTGTATGCCTTCATCAAAGAGTACAAGAGGGGGGCTTTTGTGAAACCCAGAAGCCAAAACAAGAAGGAGGAGAAGACAAAGAGAGAAGAACCCATTTGAGAAGGAGAGGAGACCACCATCCGGACTATTTTTTTCCGAGTAGTGAAATGACTGTGTTGAATGTGTGGTTTATTCATATATATAAAATTGAATGAGTTTTTTTTTTTTAAGTTTTTTTTAAAATATGTGAAACGAAATGTGTGAATATGAATAAATAAGGAACAGAGAAAGAGGAGTGTTGAGAAAGGAAAGGGAATATCTATCTCTGTACAGCTAGCTCTGAGTGTGAAGAGAGATAAGATTAGAGAGGCCTGATATAGAGATAGAAAGACAAGAGTTGTATGTTTTTTAATTAATTTTTTATTACCCTTTTTGTCTTTGTTTGGTATTTTCTTAAATTAATTTATCTGAAATCCCTCAACCAAAAAGTTAAAAACCCATGCTTATTTATTTTTATCACACTTTAGAAACTCATTTTAATTTCAAAATTCAACATTCCACACATATAAATGCAACTATACAATATTATTAAATTTTCAAATTAATAACAAATGTAAATCAATAAACATTCAAGCCATTCATCAAGTCTTAACTACGTACCTCAAGTAGGGCATTACATGCTATGTATCATAATAATTTATTACTTTTTAATTAAAATGCTATCTACTTATATATTTAATTATTGATGACATTTGGAAAAGAAAAAAAATCCAAACATATTATATATATAAGAAAAACAAAAGTATCATAATATTTTATTATTGATTACCATTAAAAAAAATTCATCCAAACTAAACCAAACATAATATAAAAATAAAAAAAAAATATAGAAATTATAATAATGCATATCATGTTTTTCGAACATAAACAAACGAACAACCGAATAGATTGTTCGCGAACAGATGGATCAGTTGAACGTATAATGTTTGTGAACATAATCGAACGTATAATGTTTGTGAACATAATCGAACGAACAGCCCATGTTCGAACTCGATCGAACATATTATCGAACGAATATCGAACTGTTCGCGAACAATGTCGAACAGTTATCGAACGAACATCGAGTTGTTCACGAACTGTTCGGTTCGTTTGCAGCCCTAGACTAGACCACATAAGACCATTGAGCAACGCCAGGGTAGATCGTGTCTCTCTCTTGTTTAGGTTCGATAATGATTTTGATTCTGAGTTTGTATACACTTCGACTTGATTTTGGTTTTTGTTTTTATTTTGGTCTTGACTTTGTATGGTAATATGTTCTTTGAAGAAGAAAGGGGAGAGAGAGGGAGAGAGAGAGGGAGAGAGGAAATGAGGTTTGAGTATTGACTATTGACTATTGAGGAAGAAGAAGAAAATGAAAAGAAGATTTGAGGAAGAAGAAAGGAATAATAAAAACAAATGTTTTATGTAATTTTGTCGTTGTTGGGCTCCGAAAATATAACTCCCGTGATCTATCTTTAATTCCGGACATTTTTTTGTTTGATTGTTAAGTAATAAAATTTAAAGATTACCCATTTTGCTCTTAATTAAATACCATTCCAGACACAATTGCCCTCAAATGTCTACCAAATAATAATCACCTAGACCCCCTACATTTGAGAATTTAGCTAAAACACCCTAGCCATAAAAAGTTTAAAAATTAACAAAGTACCCCCAGCCACCAAAGACAATCATCTGCCGCCAATAACCACTGCCAACCACCACAATAATCGTCAAATTGACGCACGACCGGCAGGATCTAGCTGACCATGCGTCGATCTGGCTATTTTCGACCAGATCGAAGGCCAAAAGCGGCCAAATCGCCATGGATCTGGCTAGAAACGGTCAGAGTAGATCCGACCGTTTTTGTTCAGATCCACGTGGATCTGGACGGAAACAGCCAAATCGCCATGGATCTGGTCGAAACGGTCAGATCCACGGTGATCTAGCTGTTTTCGGCCTTCGATCTGGCTGAAAACAGTCACAAACGGGGCATGGCTAACCAAATCTCACTGGTCGTGCGCCATTTTGGTGACTAATACCGACTGACGGTGGTGGCCGGCGGTCAATAGTGGTCTTGGGTGGCTGGGGGTATTTTGTTAAAATGTAAACTTTGTTGATGGGGTGTTTTAGCTAAATTCTCAAATATAGGACATTAAAAGTAATTTATTTAAATAATAATGATACTTAAGAGGAAGGGCAATTCAGTAAAAGCCTTTGTCGATAAGATTTTATTCTTTGTAACCAAACATCTTAATTATTTATACCTACTAATCTAAACAAGCATATTGATATAACATTTCTCCGTAATCTTCAAGATAATCTATCTGGGTGGTAATCTTACATTTTCAACAATAAAGCATTCTCCGAACCAAACGCACCCGTAATTTTAACTGCGAGGTTTTTTAGACTAGTTGAAAAGTTTGAGGTGTTCAGAAATAAGCTATTTCTCAAGGAGGAATTTAGAATTAAGAACCCCTAAACAAGGGGAGATTATCATAGACTACCCTTAAGATTTCCAAATTTATCATTCGGATGACAATTTTTGCACTTTTTATCATAGACTATCCTCAAAGTTTGAAATTGTATCACGGATACTTTTTTGCCATAACTTTTTTATGTTGTCATTTGTAGTAGATGTGTGAAATGGTAACTTTGGTGTTATAAGAAAGTGTTAAGAGTAAAATGGTAAGTTTAATCTTATAAGAAAGTATTCTGCAAACCTAACGACAACGTGATGGGGTTAGTGCAAAGGGGTATCTATGATAAAAAATAAAAAAACTTTGAGGGTCCATTTAATAACAAAAGGGGGTATTCATGATATGTTTTCAAACTTTGAAGGTAATCTATGATAAAAAGCGTGAAAGTTATCATCCAATTGATAAATTTGAAAACATGGTCTATGGTAATCTCCCCTAAACAGGAGGTACAACCCCCAACCTCATCCTCATTCCCTTAGCCCCCACCTTAGCATCGCTTATTATTTATAGATTTTTATTTTATGTTTTATGTATTCCAAATAAATATAGGTTAAATAAGTCTAAAACTAAAAATTGCAATAAATAGGAGGGTATTTATTGTCACTTTCGTGAAACGGTTCCATCCTTACTCTCTCACAAGAATAAAAAACAAAACCAACAAACTAAAGCTAAACAAATGAAAGGCACCCTTTTTCTCTTTCAAACATAAAAGCACGTGCTTGTGAAATCAATTTCTCACTCCCTCACGCTCTGTCAACAGTAATGGCTGCTGCTCTGCTTTCTCACCCCAGGCACTCTCTCTCCCTCGCAGCTCATAAAAAGCTTCAATTTTTCACTTCAACACCACCTTCAGGTAACTTTCTTAATGTTTTTTTATGTGATCCTAATGGTGAAATTTTTAATGAAACTTTGAGGGATTTCTAATGAAATTCGAAGTGGGTTTGTGTTGGGGAGTGTTAAAATTTGTTGATTGTTGCAGGAGTGCGTTTGGTGGGCAAGAAGGGAAATGGGTTTGGAAAATTGTTGATGGCAAGAGCAAATTCTACATCTGTTGTTTTGGATGACAATAAGAAGAAAAGTAACAATCCCATTATTGTCATTGATAATTATGACAGTTTCACTTACAATCTTTGCCAGGTTTGGTCTCTTTTTTATTTGTTTCTTAATGGCGAATTTTTTTTTGTTTTTTTCCATTTGAATGGTTGTTTGTGTAATATATGTATTTTACATGGGCCAAATGTTTGAGTTTAATAGCCATGATTTGGTGAATGTTGCTGGGAATTGAAATTCATTTGTAACCGTATTATATTTTAAAGTTCTATTTTTTCTATAGTCTACAAATTATTGGTTTTAATTATTTGAAGTTTCTCTATATGGTCCCATGCGCCTTTTAATTTTTACTGAACTTCTAAGGAAATTCTGGTAGAATGCTGCTATTAGTTATGTTTATTGTCATAATTTGTAAAAGTTCAGGCGTAATGTGTTTTGAGACAATTTCTTTAACATATATTTTTCTTGGTTATTCTCTTTCTCCCTCTCTCATATTCTATTAATAGATCAAAACTTATTTTCTGATACTTTTTCCTATGATTTTGAAGTACATGGGAGAGTTGGGGTGTCATTTTGAGGTTTACCGGAATGATGAGTTGACTGTGGATGAACTAAAGAAGTAAGAACTTGTGCTTTGGCAAATATATTATAGTTGGCTATCTCTTAGATTAGTTCTTTGGTCTGACCAATTAATTATGTGTATCATGCAATTGGTGTTGACTATTTTATTACTTATTGTAGGAAAAATCCAAGAGGAGTGCTTATTTCCCCTGGACCAGGTAATTATATTTTTAAATGTATTCTGTTTAACTATATGCACCAACATTCCCACAAGTAAAAGAAAAAAGTTGAAGATTGTCATACTCCATGTCCTATATGTAGGTGCACCCCAAGATTCTGGAATATCATTGCAGACTGTTTTGGAGCTAGGACCTACTGTGCCTTTATTTGGTGTGTGTATGGGTTTGCAATGCATTGGAGAGGCTTTTGGAGGTGAGTCTTCTGGGATGTGTAAAGCTCTTAAACCTTGTTTCATGTTGCATATATTTTTACATGATGTACTACCTTTCTATATGAAATAGAAAAATAGATCGAGCAATCTAGTGCTACTAATTTATTGTTGCTGCTAAGATACTTGCATGCTGGTCTCTAATCTTTTGGTTCTGATGTGTTTTAGGGAAGGTTGTGCGATCTCCTCTAGGTGTCATGCATGGAAAAAGTTCTCTTGTATATTATGATGAGAAGGGGGAGGATGGCTTGTTCACTGGATTATCAAAGTATGTGAGCATTTCCTTCTGCAACATTCAGTAATCTTCATAATAAAATGTGTTAGATCCACTTGCTATGTATAATTTTGCTATTAGAGTATGTCCTTTTTCTTATCAAAACTGTTAACTAGAGACATCTTAATGTCTTTTTATGCTAAGTACCAGATTGTTTGCTGGGTGTATAATCAGCTAACCCATGGCTCCTTGCCTTCATTTTTGCCACTTTTTCAGTCTCCCTTCCTCCAGAATTTCATCTGTAGGATTTTTTATATGGTTAGGAATCTTGTAGGGATGTATGCGCCTTTTTGAACATCTCAAAATTTGTACTCAGCCTAGCATGAAACTTCTTAAAGTAGGTTATTGTATGTTTGATAGGTTCCTAGATTTGGAGCTTGGTTCTCGTTTAGCAAAGAAGGTCATTTTTTTTAGTGGTCTATATGTTCTTTTTATTTGCAGGTGTTAAAAATCATTGATTTACTAGTGAATATTCTGTCAGTTTTTTAGCAACATGCTTATAGGGCATGCAATATTTTATGTCAAGAGTAATATTGCCAGTAATGACAGCAACTTGTGTCACTCATCTAATTGATGACTTGATGATCCATTACTTATAGCTCTGTATTTGCGTAGATCGATTTGATGATATAACTTGGACCTTATTGCCATATAGTTTGTCCTTGAGAACAGCTCAGTTTGCTAACTCTATGTTGTGAGATAATATTAGTATTTTACCTTTACTGATTACTATATGCAGTGTTAGGGAATAATTGAGAAGCCTTTTGCACAGTTTGATTCTAGTTTTTGATTAAAAAAAAAGCAAAAATCTAATTACCATATGCATTTTCGTTATCAATAATTACACTGTAGGAAATAGCAGTAGGATTAAAATATGAAAAAAATAAAAAAAAATTCCTCAGATGTGCTTAGATCATTATGTCTTCAATAGCCAAGTTTTTAATAACAATAACATCTTCAGTTCTTGCTTGCATACATTCTGTGAGAGATGATATGGTATTAAATTTGCTTAATTTCTAATTGTCTTATTCCTCTAAAAGATAAATTGGAAAAAAATTTATCATCAGAATTTTTTTATTGAAGTTGATAATTTTTATTCAAAACCTAAGAAGCAAGCAGAGATATATGCCTGAGACACTAGGTGCAGTAAAACCTGGCCATTTAAAATAGATAAGGCTCTGAATTCTAGGCTAGATGCAACTTAACAATAGAGCCAGGCTTGTGTATTAGTCTCTGTGCTGTCAGGGCTCTGAAAATGGCTTAGCTTGGTTGACAAATGTATCAAGTGCCGAATTGAGTTTCTAATGAACAATGCTATACCTATATTTTCTATCTTCTTCTTGTCTTTCTATTATATAAATGAACTCTTTTATTTTATTTTAAGTGGAAATGTATTGGTGAGGCAGTAATTTACCATTATGTAACCTTTTTTCTGTTTAATTTAATTTTTTCACTTACATGATAGCAATGGTAGATATTTTTATTATTTACTTCTGTGTACCTTTCCAGTCCTTTCACAGCAGGTAGATATCACAGCCTTGTGATTGAAACAGAAAGCTTTCCTAGTGTGCTTGAGGTTACGGCATGGACGGAAGATGGGCTAATAATGGCTGCTCGTCACAAAGAACATAAGCATCTTCTGGTAAAACACTGTTCTCTTTTATAACTTATAAAGTTATTTATTATCCAACTAGAAGAGATGATGAGAAGTTTCTGGTATTGGGGAATGATGTCTTTGTGTTAGGGAATAAGTGACAACAAATATAATGATTGTGTTAGTAAATGTGAAATCTTATAGTTTGAATACGTTGATTACCTTCCCTGCTTATTCCTTTCCCATGTCTTCCTAGGTTTGTACTCATTTTCTGGTCTATTTTTGGTTGAATAAGTTTTTGCTTGGAGTTGTGACATCTAATAAATTAGGCCATAATGCATATCTTCCACAATGGGATGGGAAGTTGACTGATTAACTGTTAGTCCACATGAATGAACTATATAACAAAATCTACATGAGGGTGACATAAAAGAAGTGATTTGTTAGAAACAATCATTCTCCTTAGGTTAATATAGGGATTATTGACACGTATACTGAAAGGCACTGATATTGTAAATTGAAGATTGTATATAATACATCCCAGAGATGTGTTTTTTATTGAATTGTTATTAAACACATTTGTCCCACTAGCTTTCATTTGCCAAAATCATAGTTGTCTTGCCAGATGATATTTAATCCTATATGGCTTGTATCATCATATTATGCCAAAGATATTCTCAAAAACATCATTCAGTTCCCATAAAATATTTTTTTTCTCTTTACATTTTTCTTAGTCTAAACATAAGCGCAAATGGATATTACAATCGAAACTAAGTTGCAAAAATCTTGCAGGGAGTTCAGTTTCATCCTGAAAGCATTATAACCGCAGAAGGCAAGACAATTGTTCAAAATTTCATCAAACTGATAGAGAAGAGGGAGGCAGCTGAATCCCAGAACTAGAGACATAATGAGCAGCACTTAATCTATCATGTATCTTAATATGCTATTAAAAAGTTGAAGTTAGTGTGCATTTTCCCTCCGAATTGTCTCTAATTTATTTATATATAAATAAACCTTTTCCTTTGAAAATATATTTCAAAAGTTAATGCTCCCATCTGCTGCAATTATGTGTCTCTTGAGATTTGAAAGCAATTGTTCTGGGTTTTTAGGCCTTATTATTGAAGATAAAATAAAGCAAAAGTAGATAACATTACTTGGTGGCCAATAATTTAACAATTTCTTTTAAACTGAATTATGACAAAGCAATTCAATTCAAGTTGCAATCAATCTATAAGTTAGCAAAAAAAATAATGAAAGGCTTATGGATAGTGGGTTGTGCTTTTCCATGAATTCTGTGACAAAAATGAAAAAGACTTGCGGATAAGTAACTATCATGAAATGCAATCTAAAAGATTTGTTGGTTAAAATTTATTTTTATTTTTTAAAAATTTTCTGGGTTTTGAGTTCCAGTTCAAAGGTGGCTGGCTAGAAAAAGAAAGTGTAGTGATGTAGAAATGTTCAACTAATTCTTCAAGATTTTTTATCTCCTTAAAGCATGACCACATGGTAAGTGTAATTTTGCAAAATTCATTAACCCCAAGAACCCTGATTTTCAAGCGACTTTCATGAAAGATCATGGGAATAGTTTTTTCAAACCTTTCATTCAGGGTTATTTTTATTTTTATAAATAGTTTTTGGTGAATTATCACACACACCCAAATTACCAAATGGGCCAAGATATTCTTGATTTAGATTTAAACCCACTCTATATGAAAATTACAACAAAAATAAATGTGAGGTTTAATTAGGTAGAAAAATCAGATGAGTGCCGTTAAAAAGGCAAATTTTTAATATTGTTGATTTAAAGAAGTTATTGAATTACTTGCCAAATAAGCAATAGACAAACAAAAGCAGCTAATAATATGTGGGGTTAATATTGGTTTATTAGTCTTTACTGAAAATGACAATTACATCTTATCTTATCTTTTTTGGCACCTTTCACCAAAAGTTTTTCTCCATTGGCGCACAGATTATCATAATCTCTTACAATTTTTCCTTTTTTTTGGTTCTTCGAAAATGTGGAAGAAATAAAAGCATTGTAATATAATTTTGTAGGCTTGACATGTGAAAATAGGTCCCATATCTTGTGGTTGCGCCTACTTTTGAAGAAACAATTGCCCACCACTACATTACAAGTTAATCATAAAATTTAACTTCAAAATATTCTTTCCATCAAAAGAAAAAAAACTTAAACCATTGATTCACTTGTTAAGACCAAACAAAATTTTTTCAAACCCAACTGACTCAGGCATTCACTATTCCAACTAATAGTTGACAAAATGTCCTCTAAACATGACAAAGTTTCACCTTATAATATTTACACTATTTCTATTTTTATCAATTGAAACAATAACAAAATGAATGATACAATACCTAACACATTTCTAAAAACTAACTCCCATATGCTAATTATATATATTTATTCAACCCATGAGGGTGTTCATAAGAGTACAGAAAATTATCACAGAATTCAATAACTTTCAAATTAAAACAAAAAAAAAAAAATACCAACATCATCAAATGATAAAATCAAAACGTATGAACTATACAACATACCCCCACCACCACCATCCATCAACCATAGAAATTAAAGAAAACTCTCTTATCACCCTCAATAAAATCCCTTCTGTGCCTTCTATCTCCCTGTCTATACACAAAAATAACTTTATCCCAACTAAATCAAACTCAAAGGAGACCATAATATGACCATATCATAAATATAAATTTTGTACCAGCTTTTGTCAAATGGCATCAGCTGAGGACCGGCTAGCGTGGCTTCGATGGTGGTGTTTGCCGTGGCGGCGTCGACCGCTTCCAAATGTAACCGGATCATAAGCTTTGAGGCGTTCAGCTTCAAGGGGATTAATCACACACTCGGAAGGAGAAACTTTGTATCGAATTTGGTCATAGCAATAGGAATACGTCATATGTTTCCTCCTAAAGTTGTCCATTTTAATTCTTTGCGATGGGGTAACACCAGTAGGGATTGAGTCTTGGGTAGTATCGCACCTTGATGATGTTTGTTCAATGGGGTCGACTGTACAGCCATGGAGGATGAAGTTGGAGAACTCCGTGACATAAGGGGCGTATTTGTAATTCACTCTATATTTGCCACCATTGGTAGCCCAATCAGACCCATCCCAAATTGTTGCATACAAAGACATTGGCTTAGAAGGAAAATCCCCTCCCATTGATTCTGTTCTCTTAACTTCTCTAATGGGAATATTGTCTACATAAAATCTGCCACAGAAAAGCAATACACACATAAGAAATAAATAACACATAAATCATCAAAGCACAAAAAGAATTAAATCCAAAACATCCAACATTGGCTGATTCTTTAGATATCATTCTCAGGTTCAGACTTTCGCATTCATGCCACAAAAATACAGCAGTGACCACTATTATCAGCTAACACTGAATTGATGTTTGTTAATTCACAAAATGATATACCATAGTGAAGCAAAAGAGGATCTCAGTGAAGCAAAATGAAAGTGAAAGGTCACTGTTAAAATAAACTCTTGACCATGAAAACTCTAGAACTTCAATCTAATATCTAATCCTACCCATAGCTATTGCTTAGAAAGCAAACAGAGGATTGTTAAAATTAGTTAAGTTTAAGGAAAAAGTGGTATTGATAAAACAGGGGATGCAATAATTGGAAAGAAACAGAGCACATGCTGTAGAAACCACAAACTTTCCTGAAAAGAGAAACTCCAGCTACAAAACAACATACAAGAGCATCATGTCATGTCTCAAAATCATTAAATTCCATACCGTTTAAGGATGGAAATTATGACTGAAATTTTGTTAAAAAAACAAAAAAGAATGGTGGTGAGATGCTTACATGATCTGAGAATCGGTCCAGAGAATACTATAATGATGGAAATCATCGGAAGGATCAAACCAAAGATTGTATCTTTCTTCTCTGCCTACACTGGTGCTTCCATTGCCATAAATATTTGTTTGAATTCTCCAATCTTTGCCTCTTATGTTACCCAAGAACTCAAAGTCTATCTCATCATGGTTCTTCTCAAATATGTCGCCATTTGACATCTGCAACCAAATTTTAAAACTTTGTCCAGAAAAGCAAAAAAATTTGCATGATATCCCATCTGGGTATTGTCAAGAAACCTTGTTGAGAAACGTAAACTTTTTTAAGTAAGAGAGTTGCAGAACCAGAGGATTGAGAAGAGAAAATAAATTATTTTAGAAATTAAAAAAAAAATTAGGAATATAGAGAAGAGAACTCACATAGAAAGCAACAACAATTCCAGCAGTATAATCTGATGGCAATTTAATTGAAGTACTGAAGAACCCATGAAGATAAAGATCCTGTGACACAAATCCAGAACCTGTAAAAAAAAAAACAAAAACTTGTAAAAACTAAAAACCACAAAACAAAGAAAAGAAAAAGAAAAAAGAAGCACAGGAAAAAAAAAAAAAAAACCTGTGGATTCATCTAAAGTTAAATGAACAGATTTTCCATCTTTATGAACAACAAGATTATCATTTCCGAACAAATGTGTATAGCCTTCATCAAAGAGTACAAGAGGGGGGCTTTTGTGAAACCCAGAAGCCAAAACAAGAAGGAGGGAGAAGACAAAGAGAGAAGAACCCATTTGAGAAGGAGAGGAGACCACCATCCTGGACTATTTTTTTCCGAGTATGAATGAATGACTGTGTTGAATGTGTGGTTTAATTCATATATATAAAATTGAATGAGTTTTTTTTTTTTAAGTTTTTTTTAGAAAATATGTGAAACGAAATTGTGTGAATATGAATAAATAAGGAACAGAGAAAGAGGAGTGTTGAGAAAGGAAAGGGAATATCTATCTCTGTACAGCTAGCTCTGAGTGTGAAGAGAGATAAGATTAGAGAGGCCTGATTATAGAGATAGAAAGACAAAGAGTTGTATTGTTTTTTAATTAATATTTTTATTATCTTCAACTTTTTACTCCTTTTTGTCTTTGTTTTGGTTTTTTCTTAAATTAATTTATCTGAAATCTCCTCAACCAAAAAAGTTAAAAACCCATGTCTTATTTATTTTTATCATCACCTTTAAGAAACTCATTTTAATTTCAAAATTCAAACATTCCACACAATATAAATGCAACTATACAAATATTATTAAATTTTCAAATTAATAACAAATATTCTTCATAATATTTCATATTTATAAATAAAAATAATTGTGAAAATAACTAGTTAATATCATGAATTTATTGTAAGAGGGATGAAATAAATATATAACTAAACACAATCTTATTTAATAACAAATTTTAATTGGAAACTATATATTCATCAATGTAAACTAGTATATAATTTAAATCAAACAGTAGGATTTAACTTTAAATAATTATTGCAATTTAGTTAAAAATCTTTTGATTATATTAGTAAACATATATTCCATGTATAAAATGAAAAATAAAACATTTTTCATGTATGATTATCATCAAATTGTTCATTGTAATGATGAATAGGTGAAGATCATGAAGATGTAAATTAATTAATTATAAATTTTGAAATAAAATGAAAGATAATCATACCAATGGAAATTATTTCTTTAATAATAATTTTAGTAGTCACTTTATCCCTCCTCCAAGACTTTGAAATATTAAATCAAAAAAGCTTGGAAATCAAACTTTCTAGTCTTCAAAGAGGGATAAAGTACACAAAATTATAATAATCAAAATTAGAAAGTAGAGGACAATAGTGATTGTGGAAGTAGCACAATACAAGAAAGTATACATCATTAGGGGTAAAAATAATGATTTATAGACTTTTGGGGCCGAAAAGAGCTTCTCCTTTAGTATGTCTTTCAATAAAGGGTGATGCTTTGGGTACTAATGGATGAGTACTAATATGTGTATTAACTAAAGCATAGTATCCGTACTATGCGCATAGTACGGGTATTATGCTTTAGTTAGTACACATATTAGTACTCATCCATTAGTACCCAAAGTATTATTCTTAAATAAATATTATCAATACCAAACCCAAACCCAAAATGGTTTAGTGGGTCCGGGTCAGCCGTTGGACCGCCTCGCCGCCCCGTTTCAGGTTATCCATTGATGCCCTCGTTGACCCTCAAAATTACTATTCAATAGTTTTTTGGCCTATTTATCTATTCATTTTTTTAATTATTTAAACTATAAATTTATATTCTATTTATTTTTTGGTAATAGAATAATAACATTTAAGGTCAATATTTTTAATTATACTGTAATACTTTTCAAAACTATTGATAATAAATTTTCAAAATTGTTTAAAACTAAATATTAGATTTTAAATAAAATCATTTTTTATATAAATAAACTGATTGGATATGATAATGAAAGAATTAAATGGAACAAAAAGCGAAAGCGGAGGGGCTATTAATGGAACAAAAAGTGAACGCTCCCATCAAACGAAAATCTCGTGGGCCAATCATCAAACTTGGGCGCCCGGGCACTTGACACGGATTTCTCACGTGGCTCGTTTTCAGCTATGCTCTTTATGTCTGTTCTTCCTCCCATGCTTTTTTTACTTTTTTACCCAAAATTCATATTTCTTTTCATGTGTTCTGTCAACAGTAATTTTTTCACTTTTATCATTATTATTTTTAACTTTGAATTCAGGGAAATATTAGTAAAAAATAAAAATAAAAAAAATTATTTTACATATTAAATTTAAGATTTGATTAATATATTATTTGTTTTACCTTAAAATTTTGAAAAATACCCATTATTATTAGTTTATTATTTTAATAGTATATTCATTTTTATTTTTATTTAGGTTTTTAAAATTTATTTTATTGTTTTATTTATTCCTCTTGATTTGTGGGTACAGATGTTATCCTAGTCTCTACACCGTAACAGTGAGTTTCTGAGCTGACGTGACCTCTTGTCTCCTTCCCGTCAGCACCTCCTAGCCGTTGGCCCATCTGGGTCCCATTCAGATATGCCGCAATTAATGGGCCAAGCGTACCACGTTAACGCCGTTAATTATGGAGCTCAGTCCGATATCTCAATCCCCTTTAAAGTTTGTCTTGTACAACGTCCGTCGAGAACGGCGTCACTTTTTGTGGGCTCCACTTTTCACGCGTCAATTAAATTAAAATAATTTATCGGCTTTGTTAATTTTTTAACTTATAGGGAAAAGTGCACACTGCCTGGGAAAGGACACAACGGTAATGTGAACTATGCTGTCGAGTGAGGTATATGTTAGAATTAAAAGGGCAGGAGGTGGCTAACGTACGCATGAGGTGAATCTCCATGCATGCATGCATGCATGCATGGGAACTTTTACTGATCGAGAGATCCCGAGGTTGCATTGAGGATGATGCTAATGCTGATCTATGAGTTGAATTTTCAATACAATAATCAGAATCCCAAGAAGTAGATTCTCTAGCCAATCTCAGCCGTTTATTATCAATAATTTTTCAGTTTTAACCCAAGTGGGTAACTTTGTTCTTTCAGTAGGTAAATCTTTTGTCAGATTTATATTTTAGGTGATACGACAATTAAGTGCGTAATTACAGATAAATTATATTAATTAACTTTTTTGCTGTGGGTTTTGAAATAATTTATTTAAAAAATTGAAAAATAGTTTTATTTCAAAATTTCAACACGGATTAGACCAAATTTCCAAAGTGAACCATACCCACCAATAAAAACTTGATAGAATTATCGTTGGTCGAATAGAGGTTTTTTTTTTTTTTTTTTTTGAGAACTAGTTTTTATTGGTTTCTATCAATCACTTTGGATTTAATTAGAAAAGGTATTTTGGACCAATGGGTTCTAAAATTTTAAAATAAAGTTATCTCCCCAGTTACTTTCATAAATATGTTATTTTTACAGTTAGAATCCCCAAAAGTATGTTATTTAATATAATTTTCCTAATTATATCATCGAAAATTAATTTATATGATAGCATTAAATTTAGTTATGTTGGTTAAAATGCAAAGCTCATATGTGCATTTGAATAGGAGATAAAAGGAGACGAATTAAAGTATTTAAAGAGATATAATTCAATGGTCAAGATGTGGGGCAAAGAATAAAGATGAATTGGTTGGTTAATTATTGTTGAAATTTAAGGCACAATAAATATATTGTTGACTAGTGAATAGTTTGGCTACAACATTTCTACACTTTCCGTATAGAGATATAATTCATAACTAATTACTTTACCTATTTCAGAAATTATTAATTGTCTTAATCATAATCAATTATGGACCTTAATTTTTGGAAGTTGTGAAAGTTTTCTTTTACTATATTTTAACGGCATTTTTCATAAAATATACTGAAATTGACTCCATATACATTTTGTTTTGTTGTGGTAAATTAATATTTAAAAAAGTAATTCATTTGGAAAGAAACAAAACTACAAGGCTAATTTCTGACTGGACAAGACAATAACGTTGAAAGTAGTTAATAAGTGCACGTGGAGAATCTGTGACAGAACGGTAATATTGTTAAACAGAAGAAATGCTTTGGATAATTTTCAATAGGATGAGATAAATTTAAAAAAAAAATAATTAATTTATGAAAAAGGTTCCCAAGTTCTTTGCTTGAGTCCCCAAAAGCCAAAAATAGAAAATGTTTTCCTTGTTCCAGTCATAAGGGGATGTTTGCCTGCGCTGCGCTATAAGAAATCGAGCCTTTTATTGATTTAATTATTCAACCAACTGGTGTTCAACACGTGTCAACGGTTGGATTTTTATCAGCTTTTTGAATGATGATCTATATCGGAGGTATCTGGACACGTCACCAGAAGGGCCTAGGGGTTTATCCAGACCACACCCATCTTTCTTCTATCCTACTCATAATAAATTTGTAAAATGTTTATATAAGTACATTTATCTAATGGTGGGATACAGCCGATAATGTAGAATCAAATAATTGTAGAGGGTCAAAACAAAGCTCGTGATGGTAGTGTAATTCTCAAGGTTGGGCAGCTAGCAGAGAAGACAGATTAAGATGATTGTTATGAAATTTAACGTGACCCTACAGCCACATTCTACTAACCCTAACTCTTTAATCATTTCTTAAAACCTGGTTAATTGTCATGTGCTTCTACAATCTTTATAATTGATTTTGTATCCTAATTCACTCACAAATTAAATAACAAACACCAATCTTAATAGAAATTAATATTCTTTTTGTCTTTAATTTAACCAGAAAATTTCTGATATCAGGATTAATGTAGAAATTTAGAATAAAACAAAGAATTGGTTGCACAATCCTTTTTATTCTGGAATAGAACAAAAGAATCCCGAGCAAACAAGGCATTCATAGAACAAAAGTATTTTATTGAATAACTTTCGGTTCACAAGACTGCTACTTAAGTCAAGCATTGTCTACTCAAACCATATTATATAATACTTGTGCCAATTGAAAGTCTAACCTAGCTAAAATAATGGTAGTACCATCCCGTCTTTTCTTGAACTTAGATTTATTTATGTATCATGATTTAGGATGATAATTATATTAAAAGAAAGGGTTATAATGAAAGCATGGTGTAATATCATATCATATGCATAGAAATGAATAGATTCCAGTTCCACCGAATAAAGCTAGTAAGAAGGGGCCGAAAAGCAAGTGGTGGGGTACTTGTACATTTGATTCAACAACTCTTATTATTAATTTTTTTTTTTAAATTGATAAGAATAATAGTAACAATGTAGGTCCATATTCACATCATTTATTCCCGACAGAGCAAATATATAAGACACAGTAGCTAGGGTGGTGTTTCCATGATAGTGAGTCTAGG